AAGGCTACATTCTTTAACTTATCCTTCACAGCGTGCTGATATAGTCGGATTAAATGCACTGAAAATAGTATCGTTAGTGGCTAAATGGCCATTTTTATTTAAAGCCAATTGGTTTTTACATCATTTTAAAACATTAACTGGAGTTGACATAGCTTTTATATTTGAAGAAAATCTTAAAATTAAATCTACCATAATTGTCAAATTTTTGCAACACCAAAAAGAAATGCAATTAGCCATAAATGAAATGATATTAGCTGGGCAAGGTAATGTGTTAGCACCACTTGTTGCTGCAATTTTGGGCATTTGCCAGTTTTTTAAAGAATCTTCCAAGTTTTTGTTTCATCAGACTATGGTAAATATTTTTTCCATTGATTTTTTAAATTTTATCTTCCTTGATTGAAAAAGTTAATACAGTTTAATATATTTTGTGCATATTTTATCAGTAATATTTTATCAGTAATATATTTATGTGATGTTTTAATACTTGTAGGAGCATGCAAATGTGGATGATATTGAAAAGGACATTACTCTTCCACTTTCTCCTTGTATTAGTTTTGCTGGTAACATATCATTTTTGCTACTAATTGTTTAATAAATTTATTGAATTTATTTATAGATTTAGATTTTGTTTTCTTATTGTTAGGAAATTCCACATTGCTATGCTTGTTTTTCTAAAAAAAAAATTGAGAATTTTTGAATTTTTTTTGCCCATATAGGAACTTGCATATTCAAGTGTAATAGTTTTTACTTGGTTGTTGATCGGCATGTTATTATAAATAATCTTGCAAATCCTCTTTTGGCATTGGTTGTTCTTTTTGCTGCATATTATGTGTTAAATGTTGGCTATCCAGTAGAGATTGCTGCAACCCTTGAGTTTTTGCAGAGGTAAGTCATAAGATAATGTTTATTGACATTTGTTTATATAAATCTTTTTCATTACCTAACCTGCATTGTGTTCTCTAACTTTATCTACTTCTACCCTTCCCTTTTCTTCTAAGTCACTGCATCCTGATAATCTACTGTATGCTCTACATGTTCGCTTCACATACAATTTTTAAATATTTTTAAAATTACTTTCTTTTTCTTTATTTTACTGTAAATAATGATTTATTAATCTTATCTAATTATTATGTAGATGTATCGTAAAAATAAACCCTGAAAAAAGAAACAAAATCGAAAAGAAGATTGGTAAAAAGCAGTATGTCGGACCTCACCCTAAAGTTATAAGTTTTGTTAACGAACTGGGGCTGTTTGAATGGACAGAGCAGCAATAGACGAAAATACGCTTTGTTTTTATTTATTATAACTAATAAAATATATTTTCATATATATTTGTTATGTCTGTATTATAAATTGTCATAATATAATATTATTTCTTATTATATAATATTGTTTCTTATTTTATATATATATATATATATATATATATATATATATATATATATATATATATATATATATATATATATATATATATATATATATATATATATATATATATATAGTAACTGTTACTATATTTTATTTTTTAACTCTAATAATTATTTGATCACCATAAGAATAGTCCATCTGGAAAACGCGCTCCAAATAAATTGATTTTGAGAAAACAATAAATAGATATATACTTTTTTTATTTATGGGACAAAATTTAAATTGATAATAGATTTCAGTGTATAAATTGTGGAAATGGAATTAACTCAAAAAAATTATTTTGTTAGTTAGCGCGTTTGGCATATGGTCTATATGATTAAAATAAATTTTCTTTAAATATTTTTTGTGTGGCGAAATTACTCAAAACTACTGAGTTTTTGTTGTTGTTGTGTTTGATATGTATTATACTATAATTTTTAATTACTTCACGAGTCTTAATATTTGAATTACATTTTTATAACCACGTATAAATTCTATTCATTTATTTTTTTACTTTCACGTAAACTCGTGAGTGAACTGTCTATTTGATGAATTAACGGAGTTTTTCCGTAAATTTATACGAAAAAATTAAAATACGGAAACTGTTAGTATTACGGAGAAAGTGCTGTCTTTTTGCTGCCTGACTTTCTCCGTACGTTTGTACGGAAAAAATGAAATACGGAAACTGTAAATTTTACGGAGAAAGTCCTGTATCTTTTTTAACAGACTTTTTCCGTTGAATTTTACGGAAAAAAGAAACTACGGAAACCGTTAATTGTTACGGAGAAAGTGCTGTCTTCTTGGCTGCCGGACATTCTCCGTTGAATCTACGGAGAATTTTTTAACAGTGCGGTTATGTAGATTTTATTTATATAACACGGTATTGTATTCTTTTTTTTAATGACAAATAAAAAAAAAATTAAAAAAAAAAATAAAAATAAAAAAGATGAAGATCACCTTTAAAATGTATTTTTTGTTGATAAAAAGTCTAGAAAAAACTTGACTAAGAGTATGACTAAAAAAGAGCTTGGGAACTGCTCAAAAAGTTGTATTTTTTGAGAAATGTTTCACCGCAATAAAATCTTAAATTTGCTAATAAATATTAAATTTCATATTTTTTTTTTGTTTTTGTTTTTTTGTAATTTCATATTTATAAATATAAACTATTAAGTTAAATAGTAGAAAACAATTGGAAATGATTTATACGCATTTAATTATTTGTTTTAATTTTCTAATATGTAAAAAAGATGTGTTTTCTATTAATGTTAAACCAGCTTAACATTAAAACAGTAAAACTCAGATTTTACATCTAGCACTTCCTGTCAAAATAAAACCGTCAAATTTTATTAGAACTTCATTAGATCACATAGATTTGGAACCAAAAAAGTGCTTTTTTTTTTTTTGAGACACCCTAATGTTTATATACATGCTTGTTATTATTAAGAAATACAATTAAAAAAAAGTTGAAAAACTTGGCTTGGGCTCATAATTACTTTTAGGAGCTTGCAAAAGTTCCAAACTCAAAAATATTGTGATAGTATTCTATCTGGAGCATCAAAAAATTCTGCGTGCCTCCATGCATGTGTGTTTGCATTGAGGGAAACTATACCGTCTACTCCCTATACCAAACATCTTTTTATATTGGCAAACTAGAATCTTTAGTCAGAATTTTAACTTTTCTATTAATTAGCTGGTTAATTGTGATAAATTAGAAAATCGATGTACGTACTTTTATATTGAACCTTCCTCCCAAAAAAAAAAACGCTTTAGTACGTTTTTGAAGACCTTTCCCTATGAGCATACGTACTTTATGGACAACCCCTAAATTTGTTGTACACACCCTAGTGGAAATATTTCTTACGAAAAAAAAAGTACACCAGAAACGGATTACTTTTTTGAAACCACAATACCTTGTTTTTTTATAACCTAGATTTTGAAAAAATTCTGTTGACATCTTCAAAAAAAAAGAAGGTTAAACGGGCAGGTCATGATTTTTTGATGTTCAAAATAGGTAATTTCTGAAGATTGTGCAAACTTCAAATTTTTAATATTGACACTGGTATTAAATAAAAAAGTTTTACAAAAAATTACTATGATAGGAGCCTAAAAACAATTTTCACCTGAGAAATCAGAACCCACTGTCCCAAATGTGGAAACAAGAAAAAATTTTTTTTTGCAGTCTTCATAAAAAGATAAAAACTCATCGGGAAAATTAATTTATCTTATATATTTTTATATTAAAAAAGTTTTTATACTTTTATATAAAAAATTCTCTATTTATCCTCTATTTTTATCCTCTATTTGAAAAATAATTTAAATTTCTTATTCTCTATTTATTATTCCTCTATTTGAGGGTGTTGTCAACTTTACGAGGTCATAACTTTTGAACTTTAAATTAGTTTTTTTCTAATTGCAAATTTTACAGATGAATTTTAGTCGAGTTCATAATGGTAGATTTTTTTAAAATGCTATCATTGCCTCTTTCCCTAGAAAATATTTGAACTTTAAGAAGGTATGTCGATAGTTGTGGCTTAAAACTGGCTTTGCGGATAGTCTTTAAGGCTTCTAGGAATCTTGTATCCACCCTCTCAAAACTGCTTAAAAATCATAATGAACAGATACAGAAGCCTGTTCAGACCAAAAACTTAATCCTTTATTCGGATTGGAATTTTACATAAGTGAAAGAAATTCACATGTATGTTTGATAAGAGCATGCACTTTCAGTGACAATTGAAGACCAAGTTTAACATAAGCATCTTTGTATTCGTTAATGGTTGACTCATATTCAGGTAACAAACTTAAGCAAGAAACTCAACTTTAACAGATTAAAAACATTTAAAGTAATTAACTCTTGAAATAATATGTTCATCTTTTTCCGGTTTGGAAGATTTTATTAATTCTTTTTACACATGAATATTTTTTAGTGGTTTAAATGTTACTTAGCAGTTTTGAACAATCTCCACCTTTAAATTGACCATTATGCAGCTTAGGCCTTTAAAAAACTAAAATTTGGTTACACTAGTTTGCCAATAAGATAGTATCCACTGGTTGATCTGCCTGATGACATAAATTCTTCAATAGAACTCTTTTTACTTTGTGGAAATGCAAACAGATTTTACAATAATCTTGTAAAATATTTTTAATCTATAGAAGGTTAACGCAATCAACATAAGATGCAGTTGAAAGTTTGGATTTTTTAAAAATCTTTACGAAAGGCTTTGTAAGCATTAGCTAATGAACGTATTTTTTCTTTGCTATTACACCAAAGGCAAAGATGTGTTGATGCCGCACTTTCCAAAATATATTGACCAATTTTATATCAAATGCATAAAAAGTATTTTAAACTATTTAAAACAGTGATTCTCAAGATTTGAATAAGATTCAGTCACGTGTCCTGTTTTAAGCCAATTACAAACAATTTGTTAACGCCACCATCTTGGTATTTTTTATTACCTATTCCTTCCTCATGGCTAAACTTTTTTTTTTGACATAACATTCTGTCACTTTTTCTATAACATTTAAATAAACTTTTAAAATTTCGCCTTCAACATCAATGCCGACCTTTAAAATATAATCTTTTGACAATTTTCTCTCCTTTATTATTATCTTAACAAGTCCTTTAATGTTTTTACAATAAACCAACTGTCTGCAATCTTTTTCAAAAATCATTTCTTTAACATTAAAATTATTATTTAAAAACCTATCTTCTTCACTTAATTTTTCTCTTACATTTCTTTTAAATATTTTTCTTCCCCTCTATCTTCTAAATATACAAAGAACTTTGGCCCCCAATTTTTATTTTTCCAGGTGATGATGACTTTACACTTCCCAACTTGATTCTTCTCTATTTTTAGATGTTGATCTTGAAGTAATTGTAGTTTGTGCAATTTTACAAATGTCACAAACACAGAATAATTGGTTTCTGGAAAGTGTACTTTGACTTTTGAGAGTTTATACGGTTTACTCAAAATAATGTTTTTATCTCCTTTTTCAAGTATTTCTAATGCTTTTCTACTTTAGTACAAATGTAATTTAGTGCTAATGTACTTTAGTACATTGGAAAGTTTTCATTCTTCAAATCAAATGATTTAAAAAAAAACTTATGTGTTCTGTTTAATATCACACTTCCTTCTTTAATTTTCATCATTCTTGATCCTTTTAAAAAACAAATTAAGCAGACTAAAGCTCTATTATCTTTTTGAGAATTTTTAATATTTGGCATTTTAAAACGATATGAGCAATACTAACCAATTTTTAAAATTTTTTTATTAACTTTTGCAGCAGATAAAAAAAGTTCATAGAATCTATTATTAAATTTTTTTTGCGCTATACCAAAAGGAAATATAAAAAACAGAGAAATGTTGTTTATACATTTACCCAGCAAACATTATTTTAGCGAATTTGCAGTGGACCTATATAGACATATTTTAGCGGTTCATTGAAGTTTTGCTTATCGGTTGCTTAGTGGACCATTAGTGGCAACTGCTAAAAAAGGCAAGACAATAAATTTCTGACATTTTAATAGTGGCTAGTCATCGGCTAGCCAATTTTAGCGGCTACCACCAATGGCCCATTAAGTTACCAATGAGCAAAACGACAGCGGTCCGCTCAAAACGCCTATATAGGTCCACTGAAAACCCTCTATATCTTGTTTGCTGGGTAACTTGTAATGGAAACGCTTTTTTAACGCAATTAACGTATTGTTTAAAACTTTCCATAAAAATAGAGCCCTAAACTCCAAATATTTTTTGGGGAAGGGGGCAATGATATTAAAAAAACTGGGGGGCAATGATATATTGTTTGATGTTTTCAAAAAAGTGGGCAATGATATATTGTTTGTGGTTTTCATCACGAACGGACGTGTTTTTGCTACGAGAAATTTAACAAAGGAAAAGTATACCTAAATATATTAACAAAAAAAAAAAATTATTTTTGTAATAAAATTAATACTTTAAACAAATATTTAAATTATGGCAGTAACACTTGTAGAAATTAAAAAAATGATAAAAGATTTGTTTTCAAAGTACAAAGTAGAAACGGAAGCTGCGCTAAAGCAACAAGAAAACAAGTTTATAAATATAGTTTGTGCAAACACCAAAATATTAAACAAGAGATTGGACAAAGTAGAAAAAGGTATTTTGGAAAATGCTAAAAAAATATCTACACTTGCAACAGAAGTTGAAGAAATAAAAGTAAGTTTAAATTTTCACGAGGAACTCATTGAAAACAAAATTAAAATCGCGTTAGATATTTTCATGAAAAGTAAATGTACTCCTAACGAAATTCAAAATAACAACACTGAGCTCAAAAAGATAAATAGTAAGCTAAGAGAAATAGAAGATAGATCAAGAAGGAATAATTTAAGAGTTGACGAAGTTAAAGAAGATGATAATGAAAGCTGGTTGGAAAGCGAGTTAAAAGCAAAAACAATATTTGACAAATACTTGGGTATAAAAAATGTAAAAATTGAAAGAGCGCATAGAGCTGGTAAGGTAGGTATAAAAGAGCACAGAACAATTGTTCTGAAATTATTGGACTCTAAAGATAAGGAGGCAATTTTAAAAAACTCTTCAAAGTTAAAAGGAAAGAACATTTTTATAAACGAAGATTTTTGCACGGAGACGAATCGAATTAGAAAGGATTTACGAGAGAAAATGAAAATTGAAAGACAATCGGGAAAATTTGCGTATATTTCCTACGACAAGCTTATTGTACGCGGGTGGAATGCAAAAAAAAAGTAATTTTATCTTCTTTTTTTAACCTTTTTTATTTACGTTATATTTTAAATTTTTAATGTTTTATTGAATATATATATATATATATATATATATATATATATATATATATATATATATATATATATATATATATATATATATATATATATATATATATATATATATATATATATATATAAACACTTTGGGAGTTTTTGTAGATTTCTCGAAGGCTTTTGATACAGTCGACCGCAAAATATTATTATCAAAGCTTAATATGTACGGTATAAGGGGTAGATCCAACAAGTGGATAGAAAGCTATTTAGATAAACGTGTGCAATATGTATATTACGGAGACAATAAACACTCTAATCCGTCTATAATAGAGTGTGGTGTACCTCAAGGTTCAATTCTTGGGCCCTTGCTTTTCTTAATCTATGTAAACGACCTCTGTATGGCTTCAAAAAGAATTTCAACTATAATGTTTGCTTTTTGTTTCAACTTTTTTATCTCTGGAAAATATAATAGCGAGCTGTGCGTAGAAATGAACAATGAATTAGAAAAGATTTCAGAGTGGTTTAGGGCAAACAAACTCTCTATTAACTCAAGTAAAACAAAGTTTTTTTTATTTCTTCCTTCTTTTAAAAAAAAAGAAGTTTAATCTTTTTTTCCGAAATTGTTTATTGAAAATAGAGAAATAGGTAGGGATACTGTTACAAAATTTTTGGGTGTTTTTATTGACGAAAATCTAAATTGGAATAAACATATCGCTTATATAGGTAGTAAAATATCCAAAAGTATAGAAATAATATACCAGTCACGTTATTTATTAAAAAAACCACTACTCAAACAAATCTACTATAGTTTTGTTCAAAGTTACCTAAACTACGGAAATATAGCTTGGGGTAGTACCTATAAAACGAAACTAGAACCACTTTATCGTAAATAGAAGCATGCTATACGTGTGATTAATTTTAAAAATAAAACAGAACACTCAATACCTCTTTTTGAACAAATGTCTTTATTAACATTGTTTGAACTAAATGTATATAATGTTCTAAGTCTTATGTATAATAGCAAAATGCAAAAAAGTCCTTCAATTTTCTATAGTCTTTATAAACAAAAACCAGAGTACAAATATTTATTGCGTACAAATAGTACCTTGTTAGAGCCTTCATGCAAAAATAAGCTTGAACAATTCAAAATGACTTATCGTGCACCTCATATCTGGAATAAGTTTTTACTAATTAATTTAAATAATATTGAATTAAAAAACTTAAATTGCTTTAAAAAAACTATTAAAAAGAGTATTTTAAAGTATAAAAATTTAGTTAGTGATTTTTTTTAAATTTATTTATAAATATTTTCTTTCTTATTTAATATAAATATATTTTCAACATTGCATTAATAATAAATGTGTAAATATTATTTCAAAAAAAAAAAAAAAAAAAAAAAAAAAAAAAAACGATTTTTGTAAAAATATATTTGTATACTTGTTATCTGATATTTTAATACCATTATAATTTAATGATTTTATGTAAAAATTTTATGAATATGTTTTTATATTTACGGCAATGTGAAGCGGTTCTTGATGATAAGACCATTTGGTCTTCTGCAAGTTTTCCGCGTTCTTTTTACAGTGTTAGAGTGAATTTATTATTTTTGTAAAACCACATTGTAATATTTTGTTTTTATTTATATATTCACTGTTAACGAATCTTTATTATGTGGTTACGAATTTGTAATATTAGGGAACAAAAAATAAACTTAAAATAAAAAAAATAAAAAATAAATAATGATAATACTTAAAAAAAATCTTCCATTATGAACTCGACTAAAATTCATCTGTAAAATTTGCTTTTTATAAATACCTATTTTAACGTTCAAAAGTTATGACCTCGTAAAGTTGACAACCCCCTCAAAAAGAAGGGGTTTTAAACTTTCCCTGGACGCCATTTATGAACCATAAAAAGTTTTTTATATAAAAGTATAAAAACTTTTTTAATATAAAGATATATAAAAATATATAAGATAAATTAATTTTCACGATGAATTTTTATCTTTTTTGAGATAAATAAATTTTTTTTTTCTTGTTTCCCGATTTGGGACAGTGGGTCCTGATTTTTCAGGTGAATATTGTTCCCAGTCATTCCTATCCTCCTATCATTGTAATTTTTTGTAAAACATTTTTAATTAATACCAGTATCAATATTACAAAATCTGAAGTTTGCACCATCTCTGGAAGTTACCTATTTTGAACATCAAAAAATCATGACCTGCTCGCTTAACTCCCTTTTTTTTTTAAAAGATATATTTTATATATTTTAATCCGTTTCTGGTGTACTTTTTTTTCGTAAGAAATATTTCTACTAGGGTGTGATATATATATATATATATATATATATATATATATATATATATATATATATATATATATATATATATATAAAATTTTTTTTAAATTGATTTAGGTGCCCCAAGAAGTCCTTACGGTCTTATCACAGAGCACCGCGGAAGAGCATTTAATAGGAACGCCTCCTTCCCAACCGATGTCGTAAAACTTGCTCAGAGGTGGGGTTTGAACCACGGATCTTACGTTTCTGAGGCAAGTGCGCTACCACTGCGCCACGGCTGCACAATATATATATATATATATATATATATATATATATATATATATATATATATATATATATATATATATATATAATATATATATATATATATATATATATATATATATATATATATATATGTATATATATATATATATTCATATATATATATATATATATATATATATATATATATATATATATATATATATATATATATGTATATATATATATATATGTATATATATATATATATGT